CTGCGCACCCGCGAGCCCGGCCCTCGCCGGCTTTTGCCGTTGGTGCTTGGCGGCTCGGTCCAGGAATCCAAGTCCGGAGGGATCGGGTGCCGCAAGCCTTTTCTCTAGGGGTCTGCGCCGAACCGGGACGCCGGGCCTGACTTAGTACTTTGGTGTGCCTTTGAAATACTCCCCCAGCTGTCCAAATGGCTGTGTTTACCTAAAAAGAAAATTAACAGGGGTTTTCCTGTGTGAAGTGTTCAGGAAGCTTCTAGGTTTTCCTGGGTTTTAACAGCGTCACTTTATTCTTTTCTTTCCTTAGGCCATCCAGAAATTAAGGGAGAAATTACTAGAAAAGATGATAAGCTGCTGTCGTTACTAAAAAATGTGTATGTGGACTCCAAAGATCCTGTGTCTTCTGTGCAGGTAATGTGTGTTTTAATTAGGTGAATGCGTAATTTACTCAGTTGGGGGCCCTAGGAAAATGATTAAGAGAAGTGCAGTAAGGCGTGAAAAGGGTGAGTGTCCTTGCACGTGTAAAAATATCAGCACTGTTGTGACCAGAGTACTGCGCCCTTGAGTTTAAGCGTAGGGGTCTAAGACATCAGGACACCTAAGCCTTGGTTCAGTGCATGTTTACCAGAATTCTGAAAGACTTGTGACAGTATTGCTGGAAGGCAGCCATGTGAGTTATTTGATAGTATTTCAGAATTTGTAAGATTTGAAAGGTATATCTGCTGGTTGTCTTCTGATGACAAAAAAAGGAGAGCTTTCATATTGTCTTGTCATTCTTCTGTGGATTGAGGTATGTTCTAATCTCAGGGACTTCTTTAGTAGTGTTGGATTTTGTGGGTTCTTTTTTTTTTTTTTTTAAAGGATTTATTAAGACGGAATATGTGAAACTAGGAGGAGGATCACAGAGTACGTGGGGAATGGGAACCTGTATGTAAATCCATACACTGAAGTGCTGGGCATAGTGCTTTGTATATAGCCAAACAGAACTAGTCCTTGTTCTCACAGGGCTTACGGTGTTGAGAGGGACACAGACCGTAAACAGATGAGCAAACATGTAACCCTAAATACATGATTATGGAAGAAGTGGACACTGTGAGAGTGTATCAAAGAGACCTATTTGAAATAGGAGGATCAGAGATGGTTTCTGAGGAAGTGATATTTAAGCTGAGGCCTGAAGGGTGAGTTGTAGTTAACCAGATGAGTTTGTGGGGACTGGAAGGTTCTAGTTAGGGAAAACACGACAATTAAAAGACAAGGAAGTGCTAACAATTCCCAGATTTTTTTTTTTTTTCCATTCTTTCCTGGTACTGCCTCTCTGTCTCTAGATAGGCAATAGACTATTCACATAAAGTTATTATATAATTTTCACTAGAGAGGAGAAATAAAAGATTTGTAAATTATTGCATGTAATAGCAATTATAGGGTTCATCTTAACACCAAATGCTCACATAAGAAAGGCATAGGGGTTGAATCTGTGTTCTTTATGTTGTTTTTAAATCGGTCTTGAGTAATACTTCCAGATATTGTATCTCTCGTGTTATACTAAATCATACATTTGAAAATTGGCTCATGGGATGAACTAAATTTAACGCTTTTTATGTGTAAGATTCAGATATAAATATAACACATAAAGAAATACAGAGGGTGCCAAACAAAAAAAGTACATATATATATGTGTGTGTGTGTGTGTGTGTATATATATATATATATATATATATATATACACACACACACACATATATAGGAAAAAACTATCAAAGTTGTAATACTCAATAAGATGAATACTAGTCATGTTTGACTTCTGCAGTGACAAGAGGTGCTCAAAGTGGTTACCATCAGTGTCCAGACACTTGTGATTATGGTGAACATTGCTTAAAATGTGTATTTGGCACCCCCGGTATGTAAGTGGTGTTAAAAATTACATGAGAACATTTGGAAAAATCTAAAAAGTTTAGAGAGAGTGGTAATGAAAAATTGTGGTGACTCGTGCTAATAATTCCAGCACTTTGGGAGGCAGAGGTGAGAGGATTGCCTGAGACCAGCCTGGGCAACTTGGTACATCCTTGTCTCTACAATAAATGAAAAAATTAGCCAGGTATGGTAGTGTGTACCTGTGGTTCCAGCTACTTGGTAGGCTGAGGTGGAAGGATCGCCTGAGCCCAGCAGGTTGAGGCTGCGGTGGCCATGAATGTGCCACTGCACTTCAGCCTGGGTGATAGAGTAAGACGACTCAAAAAAAAAAAATTGAATTGCCTGTTTGTGTTCCTTGTCCCTTTTTTCCTTTGGGCAGTTCATGGTTCTCTTAATGATTTATGATGCCTCTAGACATCAGTGATATTGTGCCTGTCATATGACAAATAATTTCTTGGTTGTCTGGCTTTTTAACATTTATGTAATATTCAAAATCCTGTCAAATATGTCAGCCTTTTTTGTCAGTCATGGTATAGGAAGTCTGGGCCCACTCAGACATCATAAAAGGTCCTCTGTATTTTCATATAGTAGTTTTATGACTATATATTTTATGTTAAAATCTTTGTTGTTAAATATGGTGTGTGGAAGAGATCAGTTGGGCCTCTTTTCATATGGGAGGCCAGTTGTTTAAATACAATGTATTGAATAGCCCAAACCTTTTTTACTTACTTAAAATACAGCTATACCTATACATACAGGTCTGTTTGAGGCTTCATTAGTTTTGTTTATTTTTCTGTTTTTACGCTATAACCATACTGTTTTAACTTTAGAGATTTATAATGTCTTGATATTTGTTATGACCTATCATTCTGTTCAAAAGTTTATCACTTCTTACAGATTAATTTTTTTCTGGATGAACTTAGGAATCAAATTGTCAGATTGTTTAGTAAGTCTTGTTTAGATTTTGAACACAATTGAGTTGGAATTTGAGGAGAATTAACATCTTTTAACATTTATCTTTGAGGGATAAAAGAAAGGTTGTTACCACGAGTGGGCTCTCTTTTCACCCTGAGTTTTTTTTAACTTTATTGTTAATATAGTAGTCTCCCTTTATCTTCTAGAGTTAAGTTCCAAGATCCCCAGTGGATACCTGAAACCAAGGGTAGTACCGAACTCCCAATATGTGGTTTTTTCCTATCCATACATATCTATGATAAAGTTTAATTTATAAATTAGGTGTAGTAAGAGATTAGCAACAGCTAATAATAAAATACAGTTATAACAGTGTAACACTTTTATGGCTAGATTTGTGTTTTACTGCACATTTTAGCACCCTCAGCATATGATTTTCTTTATCAGTCGAGAAGTTTCCCATTTTTTTCACTCAAAAGAAGCATTTTACGGCTTCTCTTTGGCATAACTGAGTTGCCAGCTTCACTACTCTTGCACCTGGGGGCCATTCTGAAATAAAATAAGGGCTGCTTGAACACAAGCACGGAGATACTGCACAGTCATTCTGATAACTGAGAAGGCTACCAATGGGCAGGTAGCCTGTGGAGCATGGACACACTGGACAAAGAATTCACTGTCTAGATAGGATGGAGCGAATGGTGCAAACCATCATCATCCTACTCAGAATAGCACACAATCTAACACTTATGAGTTGTTTATTTCTGTAATTGTTAATTTAATTTAATGGGAATGTTTTTAAGTTGAAGTGTCACTCTGTCACCCAGGCTAGAGTGCAGTGGCACTATCACTGGCTCACCACAAGCCTCGACCTTCTGGACTCAGGCGATCCTTCCACCTCAGCTTTCTGAATAGCTGGGACTACAGATGTGTGCCACCACACCTGGCTAATTTTTAATTTTTTTTGTAGAGATGAGATCTTATCATGTTGCCCAGGCTGGTCTCGAAATCCTGGGTTCAAGCAGTCCTCTCACCTCGGCCTCCCACAGTGCTGGGATTACAGTTGTGAATCACAGCTCCTAGCCAATTTAATATTTTTGAACTGTAGTTGATCTTGTGTAACTGAAACTACAGATGGGGGGTGCTGCTGTATATCAGTGAGTGGTTTTTATATTGTAGCTGTCTACATTGCTAGGCTATTCTTTTTTTTTTTGAGTTGGAGTCTCACTCTGTCGCCCAGACTGGAGTGCAGTGGCCGCTTCTGGCCACCGCAGCCTCGACCTGCTGGGCTCCGGCAATCCTTCCGTCTGTCAGCATTCCAAGTAGCCGGAATTACAGGCGCGCTACCACGCCCGGCTGATTTTTTGATTTATTGTAGAGATGAGGTCTCGCCTGCCCAGGCGGGTCTCAAACCCGTGGGCTCAGGCAATCCACTCACCTCAGCCTCCCAAAGGCGCGGGATTACAGGCTGAGCCACCGAGCCCACCTTATTATTTCTATTATTCAGTTGATTCTCTTATTTTTCTAAAGGTATTTTCCTAACCATATGGAATTAAACATTTATTTGTCTAGTATTTACGCTTATTGTTTACTCTTATTGTGTTGTATATAACATTAACATAGCAGTGAAAGTAGATGTTCTCCCTGTTTCTTCCTTTGAAAGGCTGTCTCTAGTGTTTTAGCACTAATTTTAATAAAATGGTACTGGTTTCTGATTAAAAAAGACTTTTATCATATTTGGGACATTTTCTTCTTTTGCAAATTTCCTAGGATTTCTTTTTTTAAGAGAGGAATTTTTTGTGTGTCTAATAATATTAATTTTAGCCTTTAATATTAATTAGAAGGGAAACTTGAATACAGGTGTGTTTGGAGTGAAAGGATGATTTGCCTGGGACTTGGAAGATGAGAGAAGCTGTGAGTTTTGGAAAGTGAAGAAGTTGGGAAGTTTCAGGGCAAGTTTGCAGTGTAAAAATATGTGAGTGTGTGGTTCCTTTGGAGAATGGTTTAAATTCAGTGCAATTATGGGAAGTGTGAGGGGTTAACTTGGAAGAAATGAACTGGGTTAGAGAGTGACAGGACCAGATCATGAAGGTCCTTGTTTGTCTTGCTAAGGAATTTTCGTCTTATTCTGAAGACAATGGGAAATCATTAAAGAGTTTCAGGTCAAAAAAATGATGATAGATTTGAGATTAGGCTGGGATGGAACAGGATGCATTTTATCCAGTTGGAGGAGACCAGCTAGTGCGGGGGCCAGCCCCTGCAGAGATTTAGGGGGTCCCTTGGGAGGTGTGGCGGCATCGGTGATTCTGTAGGGATAGATTTTAAAAGAAAGAAAGAAAGAAAGAGACTGGGGGAGAAAGAAAGAGACTGGACTCTGTCTAGTGCAGAAGCCATTTAATGGGATGAACTGTAAGCCTTTTATCC